ATACTTTTCATTAGTTCAGGCCAGTTATTTTATAGAATGTTTATTCAATTTGGGATGTTTACTCATCATTAGGGTCAGGTTAGGTTTTTGGTAGAATTATTAATTAGGTAATTTTGTGTCCTCTAATACTTCAGAGTAGGAAGCACGTGGTTTGGATTTGTTCCATTATTGGTCTTGTTAACTTTAGTCACTGGTTAAGGTAGAATCCTTTACCGGATTTCTTTGATATAAAATGGCTATATTTATTCTTATAATTAATAAATAATTTGTGTAACAAGATTTCAGGCTATGTATAAGTACTGTTCCCATAAAACTTTCTTCTACTTGCTTTAGCATCTATTGATGATTCTTGCCTGAATCAGTTACTATTGTGGCAGTTTCAAAATGGTGATTTTCTAACTGTATCATTCCTCCTACATTGTTTTGGTTGAACTGTGCTATGGTTTGGATGAGTGTTCCCCCCAAAGACCATGTGTTAAAGGTTTTGTCCCCAGGGTGGCACTACTGGGAACTGTGCTGGGGAACTTTATAGGAGGTAGGGTCTATTGGAAGATAGGTCATTGGGAGCATGCCCTTCAAGGGGCCTCTGGTCCCTCCCTGTCTTGTACTTCACTTCTTAGCTGATAAGCTAAGCAGTTTGCTCTGCCACATGCTCTTGCCATGATGTGTTACCCTTGTCAGAGACCCAAAACCATGAAGCTGTATAACCTTGGACTATAATCTTCAGAACCATAAGCAAAGCAAAGTTTTTTTTATCTTTATAGAAGTTAATGGCCTCAGGTATGCAAATAGTTAGCTTTTTAATTATACATGCTTCTATTTTTCCCTTGGAGGGGGAAAAAGAATTCAATATACATTTTTGACTTATTACAGTCTACCTGTCTGAATGATACAACAGTTTAATACCCAATCCCCATTTTTTTTAGTACTGTCATGTTTTATTTCTATATATGTTTTAAAACCCACAGGCGGACTGGGGTTGAGGCTCAGAGGTAGAGCACTCGCCTGCCATCCGTGAGGCACTGGGTTCAATCCTCAGCACCACATACAAATAAAATAAAGATATTGTGTCCACCTATAACTAAAAACTAAATATTAAAAAACCCCACAGACATTATTATTATTGGTATTTTAAACTGTCAGTATTCTTTTATATATTCTTAGACATTTCTGGTGCTTTTTATCCTTTCTACCTTTCTTCCTTCTAGGATTATTTTCCTTTAATTTATAGAGCCACTTTTAGTATTTCCTGTAGAGCTAGTTTTCTTGTGATTCATTTTCTCAAATTTTGTTTATCTGACAAGTCTTTAATCTTAAATTTTAAAGGATATATTTACAGGAATACAATTCCAGGTTAATAGGTCCTTCCTTTTCCCAGCACTTTAAAACGTTACTAATTGTCCTCTGGCCCCATGGTTTTTATTGATAAGTCCACTGATAAGTCTTGTGAATGTTACTGTGAAAATAAGTTTTTCTTATTCTAGTTAAAGATTTTTTTTCTTTTTTTCCCCCTGTGGTGATGGGGTTGAACTTAGGGCCTTATACATATTAATCAAGGACTCTTCTCACTGAGGTACACTTCTAACTCTAAAGAATTTCTTTGACTTTTTTTTTTAACAGTTTGAGCATAATATGTCTTTAGTTTTCTTAGTATTTACTTTCCTTGGTGTTTGTTGAGCTTCCTGAAAATTCTAGACCCTAACACTCCAGATGTTATTTTTACCCTATTCTCTCTTTCTTCTCTTTCTGGGATTCCTATAATAATTATTTAAACTCTTCAACATGGTTCAAATCTTTTATCATATGCTTTATTTTTTCCATTCTTATTTCTCTCTGGACTTTCATTTGTGTACTTTCTATTGATGTGTTCGCTAATCCTGACTTTTACTATGACTGGCATGTTGTTCAATCCCCATCCAGATAAGTTATTTTAGACACTCTCTTTTTCAGTTCTGGTATACAGTTTTCAGATTCCAATACTCTTGAAATTTTCATCTTTTCCTCCATTTTGTCTTTTATCTATTTCATTTAATACACTAATCATTATTTTAAAGACCTTGTTAAATTAATTATGTCTATCTTATAAAGGTCTGCTTCTATTTGTATTTTCAGTTTTGGTCATATTTTCTTGTCTGCATGTATATCTAGTAAGTTTTTATTACACATCAGTCTCTGGTATTTACCACAATCATAAGGATTACAAATGATTATCTTGTTAACAGAGAAAAAAATCTCTCGATGCTAGGTAGAGAACACTGGGGACTAATTATCTCCATCCAATCAGGGTTTGAGTTAGGTTGTAGATTTTGTAAGGGTCAGTCCACCCCTGGTTCATGCCTGTCCTTCTAGGCTTTTGACTAAGAGCCCAGTAGATTTTACTTTCCAGCTGTGAAAGAAGGGAGTCAAGTTGGCTCCTGCAGGCTTTGAATTTATATCCTACTCCACACAGATTCATAAAATTGTAAATGTCTGCGGGTAGACTACCTACTTTTATGTTTGTGGACAGTTCTTTCCTCTAGCACGACTTTGTCCCTTAAGGACTATAAGGCTGTGTGAGTATTATCAAATCTTTAAAATCCCCCATCCCAATACCCTGGCTTTCAGCATCACTCCAGCTGGAGCACCACTGCGGTAACTGCCCGATGATGCATTTGTAAACCAGCCAAAAGTTTTGGGCACTAAGTTTCCAATTTGTTAGGTCCATCCTACATGACCATCAAAAGGTTGTTTCTCTTTTCCCTAGAAAGAGCCCTTTTCCCTCTGTCAAGTCAAATTCTCAGCCCATTCCCAGAATTGTGAAACAGCTGAGATGAAAACAGTTGGAATTATCTTATTTAGAAAATGGCTTTCCCCTCTGCAATTTTAGTTTAGTCTTAATTGCTTTCACACCTTTCCAGTGACTATGATTTTTTAAAAAAATTTCTTTTAGTTTTTTTTCCACATAATTATTAAAATTCTTCCCAGTTCTACTTCTGGTTATGTGTTGAATCTGACCAGTTCTTAGAATTGCCATTGCTAAAAACCTGGTCTCAGTCACTTTCATTTCTTACCTAGACAATTGCTAGTAGTTTCAATTCTTTCCACTCTTATCTACCCATCCCAATTCATTTTCCGGGCAATCAGTGTGATTACTGGCTTGTAAAGGTTGAATGAAAGCAAACTGTTTATTTCTCTTTCATTAAACCTTCCAAGGGCTTCTCTACCATAACTAGAATAAGATCCAAACTGTCTTTACAAGGGCCTGCATGGCCTGGCCTGTCTACCTTTTGGATCTCATCTGTTTACTTTCCTGCACATATAGTCTACCGCCCACACGGATGGGTATCAGTGTGGGCGGTAGACTATATCAATATCAGTCTAACTTAACACCACTCTAACATATATAGCTAATTCTCTTTTCAAGGTGTTGGTACTTGCTGTTCCTTCTGCCTAGAACACTGCTTTTTTCTCATCATTCTCATCAAATGCTACCTCTTAAAGCTGCTCCTTCACCACAATCACTCCCTATTGCATTTCAATAAATTTTGACTATACTTAATAAATCTAAAGTTCTTTTAAAAAATACAGTCTGCCCTTCCTACCAGAATTTAAGCTCCTTGAAGATAGATCTTATTCACTACTATATCCATAGAATCTTGGTTTTATGCATATACTAGATGTTTAATGTATTAGTTGAATGTCTCCTCTATTAGATTATAACCTTCTTTGGGATTGAGCACAAAAATCAGAGGTAGAGTTGGGAAGACTTTTACTAATTGATCGTGTGGAAAGAGAAGAAAGAATGATGCCAAAATTTATTGCTGAGGAACTGAGTAGTGTTGCCCTTAACTGATAAAGAGTAGAGTTAGAGGGAATCAAGTAATCATAGAGCCATGGGAGCTTGTGGTTTAATTCTGGTTTTCTTCCTGCTGTACCTAACAGTAGTATCTACACACACACACACACACACACACACATACATAAGTGCATGTGTGTATGCACACTGTAGTAGTATGCACATTGTAGAGATACGTTAAATAAGATGAAGGGGCTGGGCATCATGGCACAAGTCTATAGTCTCAGCTATTTCAGAGGCTGATGGTGGAGGATCCTTTGGGCCCAGGAATTTGAGACCAGCCAGGGCAACATAATAAGAATCCATCTCAGAACAACCAACCAACCAACCAACCAAAAAATAAGATGGAGGGGCCCATTGTCTTTAGTGTAGTGTTAAAAGTGAGCCACTTCTTCTGACTATCCCATCATTATTATTCCTCTGGACAGTCTAGACCAGTCAAAAACACTGCTAATAGAAAATGCAAGCAATCCTGCCCTCCACCTAGTACTCTGAGTCACACAAATAGGAAAAACAATCTCAGACTTGTTATTGCTCCACGATTTTTATATATACATCAGTGGGCTAAAGGTAGAAACTATAGAAAAGAGCAACAGGGTTATGGTTTAGTATTTTCTCTTGTTATAATTTATATTGTTTTTAAAACATAATTGTTTTAATATTGTTAGGATCCTTATAACTTCCAAAGACTTGTAATTTCTAAATTCCAAGCAATTTAGTTTGAATAAAGATCATTCATGTGTTCTAGCACTGCTGTAAACCATGAAATGTAGTGATTTCTCTACTAGCATTTTAATTTGTTTTAATGAAATTACACAAGATATTAGCATGCACTGCAGTATTAAGAGTGTATTATTGTGAATACGCACATGCACTTATATATGTGTGTATAGATATAATTTTTTTGGTATTGGGGATTGAACTCAGGGGCACTGAACCACTGAGCCACATCCCCAGCCCTATTTTGTATTTTATTTAGGGACAGGGACTCACTAAATTGCTTGGTGCCTCACCGTTGCTGAGGCTGCCTCTGAACTCGTGATCCCCCGCCTCAGCCTCCCAAGTCGCTGGGATTACGGGCATGTGCCACCATGCCCAGAGATCATAAAATATTCTTACTGTGATCAATGTTAACGAAAGGAAAGAAAGTCAATGACCTAAAGTATTAGTTTTACATGTTTTTATTCTTAAGTCCATACTCATATAGGACAAATATACATAAAGTTTTACAGAGTACAATATTAAGGTTTGGCTATTTAATCCAAGTTTAACATGAGTATTATCTTTTAAGGCAATTTCCTTTAATAAATAACATATTAAAGGGTATATTATTCTGGAAGCAAATCATCTCCTAATTCTTCATCAGCAAAATCATCTTCATCGATTCTTTTTTTGGCTGCAGTTTTTGGTCTTTCTATTTGAGGGCCAAGTGGATCCACATAGGAAGCATCTAGGTTTCAAAACAGATTGTACCATTAGAGTAATATAGAAAAACAAAAGAAATACGAACCCATTTAGTCTTAATTAAAACTGAACAACTCAGAGTGAACAGAAATGCTCTCCCAAGTCATTTTAAGTTTTGTCTATATGTAAAAATTTGTAGTAATCCCCAATTATACATTTGCCATCTCACCAGTCTTCTTAAGACCTGCTATCCTGTGGGAACTGAATGGGGAGTACCAGCACTTGCCTATTTCTTTGTTACTGCTACTTTCATAAGGTTCATTTGTCCCAGGTAAAGCTCTGAGTTTGGCACTGAGTCGTTCACCTTTACTACTGGCACTACTGTTCTGGCCACTATCTGAAAACACAAAAATAAAAATGCATTTGTTTAATAGGCTGAGAAAACAACACTACTTACGTATCTTAAAGAATATTTATTTACCAAGAAACAGATTTTTTTCATCTGGAAGCCAACTTCTTAGAAATATAATTCTTGTTTAAAAGAATTTCTTGTGGGAAATCTATAATATATAAAACATCGCTTAACAGTAGTCTTTATATATATTCTTTCAAAGTGTGCTTAGTTATATAGGTTTCAATTTTACAGAAGTTGTATGAGAAATTGAGAGATTACCCTGACTGGTATAACTTTCTATAGAAATAGCATCTGAATAAATAACAAATAAAAGGGTACAAGATGAGTACGAGCTTTATCATCAACCTTAAATCAAGGCTAGTGAGAGGCCCTAAAACTACAGCATATGAAAAATATCATTATAGGTTGATCAGTTGAGCTCAGGTGGCACAGAACCTAGACCACACAATCACTTTCTTCAAACATTTACAGAAGGTTCATGTACATGATGATTAGGTATTCCCTGTATAGTGGGATAGATTTTGGCTTAAATACAAGGAAAAATTTGTAAGGAATTATAGCTGCCCTACTATAGGACATAATCTATATCACTGAAGATTTCAGAGAGGTTTGAATACTAACACTAGTAGGAAATATTAGTAGTACTTTTTAACCTTTAATTCCTATTATTATGTTTTATAAAAGAACCACTCCTTCAGTGCCAGTTTTTAATTTCTTCTCCTAAAATTTTTTCTACAGACCTTTTATTTGTTTTGCAGTGCTGAGGATTTTCTGCATGCAAAGCACATGTTCTACCACTGAGTTCCATCTTCAGCCCAATGAAGTCATCTTTTTCTATTTTGTAAGATTTACTTTTTTTGCAGGGGAGGAGGTCCTGGGGATTGAACCCATGGGTGCTTTACCAGTGAGCTACCATCCAATCTTTTTTTTTTTTTTTTTTAAGAGATAGGGTCTTGCTAAACTGCTGAGGTTTGCCAGCCATGCCCAGTAATGCTGGCTATTGAGTACAGAGCCCCAAGGATATTCCTCGCCTGAAAGCTTCACCTTTAATGAGAGCAGTCTATTCACTATTACTTAAAAAGTATACTTCATATTTTAGTTTATTAATATTGTCTCTGGGAATAAACAAGATGCGTCTTTAAAAATCCCCACTTTTGTATGTTTGTGTCACTGGGGATAAAACCTAAGGCTTTATATGTACTAGGCAAATGTTGTACCACTAAGCCATATCCTCACACCTAAAATCTCTACATAAAAGATTGGGCAATGGGCTGGGCGTAGTGGTACATCCAGCTTGGAGGCTGAGGCAGGAGGATCACAAGTTCAAAGGCAGTCTCAACAATGGTGAGGTACTAAGCAACTCAGTGAGACCCTGTCTCTAAATAAAAATACAAAAAAGTGCTGGGGATGTGCCCCAGTGGTTAAGCACCCCTGGGTTCAATCCATGGCACCAAGATAAATAAATAAACAAGCAAGCAAAAAAACAAACAAATAAATAAATAAAGTGGCCAATGGACCCCCAATCATAACTCCTTTGAGTTCTTAACCAAAATATTATATTTCCCTTACTATTGATGTTACTGGAAAACAAAATCTTTTTTTTTTAATATTTATTTTTCAGTTTTAGGTGGACACAATATCTTTATTTTTATGTGATGTTGAGGATTGAACCCAGTGCCCTGCGCATGCCAGGGGAGTGCACTACCGCTTGAGCCATATCCCCAGCCCAACAAAATCTTTTAATGCATTGAAGGTGTTTATACAAACTTTGGTATGTTTTTAATTATTTGTTCTTTAATATTTTGTTAGAATAAAGTCAATTTTTTTCCCATCCTGAAGTGTATATGGGTCTCTTTTAAATTACCTAAGAAAGCTTAGGTCAAAACTTGAAAACCATTGCTCTGCCTGGGTATGATAGTGTAAGCCTGTAATCACAGCCAACTGGGAGGCTAAGGCAGGAGGATCACAAGTTTGAAGGCAGCCTCAGCAATTCAGCAAGATCCTGTTCCAAACAATAAATAAAAAATAAAAAGGGATTGTGGTATATCTCAGTGGTAGAGCACCTCTGAATTCAGTCCCTATACTATGAAACAAAACAAAACAAAACCAAAATACAACAAAACTCCCCACCATTGGTCTAGGCAGTGTGTGTGTGTGTATATGTATATATATTTTTTTCATATAAAAGTTAGCATTAAAACCTTGAAATTGGGTTGGGGCTGGGGTTGTGGCTCAGTGGTTGAGCACTTGCCTAGCATGTATGAGGTACTGCGTTCAATTCTCAGCACCACATATAAATAAATGAATAAAATAAAGGTACATCAACATCTAAAAAAATATTTAAAAACAAAAACAAAACCCCAAAACCCTGAAATTGCCCTCAGGCACCCAAAACCAAAACCTTTCTGAAATTCTAACTTATGATTCACAACTTGAAGAACTTAAATCCTGTGGAAGAATAAAATAAAACCTGACCTCCTTTGAAAAACTTCACTTGTCCAAGTGAAAAAAATCAAATCAAATACTTTTTTTTTGAGATGGGGTCTCACTGTGTTGTGTGGGCAAAGTGATTTTCCTGCCTCAGCCTCCCAAGTAACTGGGTCTGCAGGTGTGTGCTACCACACCTAGCCCATTAATACAATTCTAAAAAGTTTTCATTATAAACACTAGTGGTGGTATATTGTGAATGCTGTCTTTTTATTATTTTAAATAAACTCTCATGGAGTAATAATGCCATGCATGGTATAAAAGAATCAGGAGTATTTGTAAGCCTAGATGATTTTGTTTTTGGTACTGGGGATTGAACCCAGGGGCACATTACCACTGAGCTATATGTTCAGTGCTTTTTGTTTTTATTTTGAGATAGGGTCTTGCTAAATTGCTGAGGGACTGGCTAAGTTGCCCAGGTTGGTCTCAAATTTGCAATTCCCCGGCCTCAGTCTCCCAAGTCAATGGGATTACAGATGGGTGCTGTTGTGATCAAGCTGGTGGGTTTTATGCTTAAATAATAAAGTGATAACATTTTGTAAATTATATTCATTTCACTATAGCAATAAATAACAATTACTACTTCCTGGAGGGAAATAATATAATAAGTATGTTAAGAAAATAAAAATTTGGCAATCAGTTCATTTGAACTTTCTATTGGTTAACACTAAAACTTCAAATGGGTCTTTTATTTATTTTGTAGGATGAAAATCTTAGCATTCTAGAAATTAGAGTAAAAAGGAATCTGGAACTTATCTATGAAGAAAAGAATACCTGTATGAAATAAACAAGCAAAATTAAATATATTAATTGCATATAATTACATATGAAAAAGCAAAGAGTGGAAAAACATAAAACTAAAATTATACAAAATATCACACACACATATTTATATATTTTTATAATGTAAAAATAAAAAGAGGGCTGGGGATGTGGCTCAAGTGGTAGCACACTCATCTAGCATGTGTGAGGCACTGAGTTTGATTCTCAGCACCACAAAAAATGAAATAAAGATACTGTGTCTACCTAAAACTAAAAAATAAAAAAACAATTAAATAAAATAAAAAAATAAAAATAAAAGAACTGGCTGGGTGCGGTGGCACATGCCTGTAATCCCAGTGGCACAGGAAGCTGAGACAGGAGGATGGCAATTTCAAAGCCAGCCTCAGCAATGGTGAGGCACTAAGCTAAGCAACTCAATAAGACACTGTCTCTAAATACAAAATAGGGCTGGGGATGTGGCTCAGTGGTCGAGCGCCTCTGAGTTCAATCCCTGCTACAAAACAAACAAATAAATAAAAGAACCATAACTATAATTTAAGTCCAAAAAGGCTCACACTAAGATACACTATAATCAAATGGTCAAAAGTCAAAGACAAAGTGAATCTTCAAAGTAGCAAAGAAAAGTGACTTGTCACTTATAAGGAAACTTCTGTAAAACTACCAGTAGATTTCTCAAAAGAAACATTACAGGCCAGCAGTTAGTGGATGATATTTTCAAAGCATTGAAAGCGGGGGTTGGGGATATAGCTCACTCTGTAGAGTGCTTGCCTCACATGTAAAGGCCCTGGGTTCAATCCCTAGCACCACAAAAAAACAAAAACAAAACCACTATTAAAGATCTTAACACCTTTTGGATAAACAAAGGCTGAGGGAGTTTATCACCACTAGATATGCCTAACAAAAATTATTAAAGAAAGTCCTTAAAGTTGATGTGAAAGGATACTAGATAGCAACATAAAAGCCTATGAAAATATAAAGCTCTATGATAAAGGTACCTATAAAGACAAATACAGAATGATTCAATAATGTCATAATGGTGCAGAAATGATTTTTAATTCATGTACAGAATTTAAAAGATAAAAGTATAAAAATACTATGAAACTAGGTTATAGATAAAAAAACAAAATATATATAACCTGTGGTATCAATATAAAATGGGGGGATATAAAGGAGTAGAGATTTATATGCAATTAAAATTAAATTGATATCAGTTAAAAATATTGTTATATTCTATAAAACATCTGTAAATACTACAGAAAAAAATGCACACAGATGGATGGTAGCACAAAAGAAAATGAGAATACCAGGCATAATGGCACAAACCCAGGAAGCAGAGGCAGGAGAAACACAGGTTCAAGGCCAGCATGGGCACTTAGTGAGACCCTGTCTCAAAAGAAAAATGAAGAAAAAGGTTGAGTGGGTGGGCTGGGGATTTAGCTTTGTGCTTAAATGTGAAGGCCTCAGTTTAATTCCCAAGTACTGCAACAACAACAAAAAGAAGAAGAAAAGAAAGAAAGGAATCAAATCTTGTCACTACAAACACTCAATAAAGCACAAAAGAAAGCAGAAATAGAGTAAAATTTGTGTAAAATAGCTATAAGTCACATAAAAACAATTAACACAATGGCATGATCAGTTCTTCACTACCACCAATTATTTTAAATGAAAATTAGTTAAATCCCCCAATCTAAAGATATAAATGGGTGAATGGA